ACACACAACACACACACATAACACAACAACACACACACACACACACCACACAACACAGGTTAGACTACATATGCAAAGCAGTTTGGGGAAAACATGTAGATCTATGTATTTTAACTTATGTGAAGTGTCTTTGAGTTCCTTGAAAACCGCTCTATAAATAAAATGTATTATTGTTATTATTAGACTTTAATATTTCCCCATAATTCAAACAAGGTTTCAAATAGAGGCTAAATGAGAGAAAAAAAAGTTACAATGTTAAAGGAATAGTTTGACATTTTGGGAAATACGCTTACTTGCACCTTTTTATGAAAGTGAGATGCGACCCTCAGATCTGTATGTTCAGTATGAAGCTGGAACTAGCAGCCGGTTGTTTTAGCTTGGTGTAAAAACTGGAAGCAGAAGAAAGCAGCTAGCCTGGCTCTGTTTAAAATTAACAAAATTCCCCTACCAGCAACTCTAAAGCACCTTATATCTGTTTTTTTTTAAATCCGTACAAGTACTACAACTTGTGGTTGTACTGGCTGTTGTGTGCAGATGTTAATTAGTGAGCCTTAGACGTGCTATTAGGCAGATGTTGTTACCTTTGAACAGAGCCAGGCAAGCTGTTTCCCCAAGATAAACTAAGCTAAGCTAACAGGCTTTGAGGTCTGGCTCCATACTGAAGACACAGATTTGAGTGGTATTGATCTTTTCATCTAGCTCTCAACAGCAAAGGAAATAAGCACATTTCCCCAAAACTTTGAACTGTTCTGTTAAATGAAACTGACCTTCATGTCCAGAATCTTCTGGAAGGTCTCAGGATTGCCATCAGCCAGGAGCTTGATGTAGTTATCAACAAACACCACTGGCGGTTCATGTGGGGCCATCACCACCTGCGGAAAAAGTAGAGTTTAATGTTGGTTTCACCCCTCCCTCCTTTCCTGTGAACCATCATGGAACGACCAAAGAGATCTTTAAATGATCCCACATGGGGCAGCTATGGCCCAAATGAGGGAGAGGGGGGGGTTAGAACTGACAAGACCAAGTTCTAGCTGCAAACAAAGTCGAGACTATCGTTCTATATATAGGAGCCCACTCCTCACTCTTTTTTTCCCTTTTTACACACCAATTACTCCATGCATGAGTGGGCATGAATTAGTTTCACCGGTAATTATTTTTGGGGTATAATGAGTCTGGGCTAAAATCAGCATTAGTCAAGAGCAGGCAGAAAAGGTTTAATGGGGCACAAGTCTTTCTGGATTGGATTCTCTTGGTTGTTATATTTTTTTTCCAACAATAGAGACAGGGTGGAAAACGTGGATCGGATAGCATTTCTTGCAGCCGCTACAAAGCAGGCAGACAGACCAACACATGGCTGACAGACCCCCACCTCCCACCTCATGCATACGCATGCACACAGGGATCATCTCACAAAATGTTTCGCTCAAAAAGAAAAAAGACCCGATCCGTCTTTTCAAGCTTTACTCTTCCCTTTTTACCCAGGGTAAGATTAATATATGAGAAGGTGAGCTGCGCAGGGAGGGAGAGAGTGGAGGAAAGTGAGAGAAGAGCAGGCATGAAAGGCTCAGGATTGTGTGGAATTCTTTGCTTTCTTACTAGCCCTGCTGACTGAGTGATTTACTTAGCAACTGTCCTGGAGCCAGGCCAAGGGAAAGGCCTGTAGGCCTTGTAAAAAAAAAAAGAAAAAGAAAGGGGGAGAGGGAGTTTAAGAATGAAAACGGGTATAAAAAGGGAGACCGAGAGCAATAGAGTCAAGGAGGGGGAAAACATTCGGGCTGAACAAGGGTGGGGAAGGGGGTCTGCCTTTTAAATTCTCCCCAGAAGAGAACTTCAGAGGTGGGAGAGGGAGTTGGAGTTTGGTGGGCTGGGCTGGAAGAGCATGGAAAACAGCCACGTCTCACAGGCATCGAAGCGGCCAGGAGAGGCCGTCTCAGACAGACAGACAGAAAGAAAGAATCATATGTACTTTGAAAATAACTGAGCACTGGCTCACAAAGCCAACAACCACATCTTTTACACTCAAAGTTGATACTTTGACAGCTACATAAATATTTCAGATATAGAATCTTAAACGTAGAAAAATGCAGTGATCTGATTGGTTTAAAGCTTTGCTCATCAATATTCCTTTACTGACAATGGATCAAATGACTATGCATAAAGTGAAAGGAGTTGCTAGTAGTGATGAACCCACAGAGAATTATGCTGCAGTTCCTCCTAGCTTTATGGACCGTTTTAGCATCTTTCAGCTCACTGTTTTGGTTCTACAACACATAACCTTATTGTTTTGGTTCAGTATTAGCCCTCTCTTCAGCATGGTTTGATGCAGCAGGCAGCTTTTTTGTTTTTAGGAAACAAGCTCTGATACTACCTGCACAGCACCAAGCAGCAGAGACAGAATTAGCAGCTAGCTGGTGAACACTGTGGAGCGTTTGGCTGCTAAAGAGCCAGCTATTTCCCTTAGGAGTCTACACCACAAACTACAAATAAATGCTAATGTTAGTCCATGTGTGCTAGATTTGTAAATAGGCAACTGTTTGCTAACACAAAACAGCTTTATTAGGTGATAATATGTCAATGTGGGTTTATAGCTTGTTTCACTGCTCCTGAGGAAAAAACAAAAGAATACTTGTTGGGACCATAGCTACTTCACATCTATTTGTAACATCAACAGGATAGTTTTGATTAGTGTGAAATCATTAAATCAACTCTTGGACCATAACACAAGATGATACAACGTTCAATTGTCCCAATGAATTGCAGCTTCTTCTTCTATGCCAGATTTCATTTCAAGTCACAGCATCACAGGGTGTAATTTAACACTATTGTTGAGGCTTAGACAGAAGGATTCTTGTATTGAACGTCTTTTGATGGGTTTGTCTTTCAGAAACATTAGTCTCAGCCCAAGGTGGAAGCAATTACTTGTGAGGGACCTTGATGTTGCACACAGTTGATGGCTAAGCTGCTGGCCACAGTACAAAAAGCTTGCCTTTACTCACATGGTCTTTCTCTTGCCAAGGCCAACAACGTCCACAGAAGAGATCTTTGTATGTCTCTTTCAAAACAGTTTTATTAGAGGGATGCAATCCAGAGAACTCATCCTTCTATACCTTCTTACCACAAGGGACAAAAAGTATGTTGGATTGTATCTAATTATATTATCTTGTGCAGCACTACTTCTTTTAAATTTTGTTAGGACTGTATCGATTGTCTATCGTTTTATTTGTTATCAGGGTTTTTCTTTTGATATTTCTCTTAGTATCAGATCTCTAGCCTCCACAAAGATTATTTTGTATTGTATTCTGCTGTCACAGTAATGCATGTGGATCACTCAAAGGCCCTCATGCAGTGTCAGCTACGTCTTCAGAAGCTCTATAGATCATATTCCAGCTGAAGGGGCCCGCTGGCAGTCAAATTCAGAAAAAAGCAGACAGTAGAGGGCTGATGTGAATGCATTCTATAGCTCTATAATGTGAAAGCCCATTAATGTGTGGCAGATGAGAGGAAATTCATGTATACACATTCAGGGCATTTTTCCAGGGAAAAGAAAGGCCTTACACTGGCCATATGGAACAGTGTGCGTCCCAGTAGAAAACAATCAGAGGAGGCAATCAAATATGAAATGCTGAGAGGGGTTTGTTATACAGTCGATGTCTGAAGCAAAACAAAGTAGAACTAAGAAGGACTTAGTGTTACAGGATAATACCATAAATAAAAAATATTGCTGTCTGCCATTGTCCCACTTTTTTTAAAGCAAAGGAAGGACTATTAAAATCGAGACAGTCCAACCAAGATAACTTCAGGAAGGAAAGAAGGCCTGATGGGAGTCCAAGTGAAATCAAGGGACAGGCAGGCGTGTACTCGGGTTGTGTTTGTGTGTGTGTGTGCATTTCTGAACACTCCAGGGACAGTTAATTAGGGTGGGGTTAATCTATGGCAGCCACATACCAGTGTCCTCTAGGGTTGCATAAGGTAATTCTGAGGCAACTAGCTAAATCTTGTGTTTGCTCTCCTCACTGAAAACAACATCCAATATACACCTTGTTATACTGCAACTGTGTTTTGCGTGAGTAGACGCATGGTTGCATGCATTTACTTATTTACTAACTCCCACCTTTCCACTGGCTCAAGGTCAACCACATACTGTGTTGAAGAATATGTGCGTGTGTCTTGTGTTGGCCCGTCTTTCACTCATTAAACCAGTAGTGCATGAGCTCCGTTCCTATTCCCTCCCTACCTCATGTGAGGTGGATCATTTTATGGAAACATGCTCATAAAGTGCTATTGTGAATGGGGTTAAAGACACAATTAAAGGGTTATTCTGCCCAAAAATAAACTCTAAGTAGATAATCTGCTTGAGTGACTCAAGACAAACATTTTAATTCTGGCTCGCCAGTCAAACCACAAACGCTCAAAAGGAGAAATGTTTGTTCAGTCTATTGTTGCTTCTAACGATGGAACCTCAATCAGTGGAAAAAGCAGTTAGCTGCAGGTTGTGCCAGACTATTCTTGGTCAAGCGTTAGCGTCAACACCAAAGCAAATGTTTAACTGTATATGTCAGAGTTTCAACATTAAATCTGTACAACGGCAAACAAGAGATAAAGAAAAGTCATTCAGACCGCACTTACACAAAAGGGTCTATCTAAGGTTCAGAGCCTTTAAAGGTCAGAAACTGAAGCCATGGTTGTAAAGATGGCCAGCATGAATTTAGCCACCCAAGTTAAATGTCATAAAAGCTCAAGTGTCCCATAAAGATTGAGCGGCTCTGATAATGTTAAATTACTTTGTATTTAGAGTTGAACTCAGGATCTCCTTGAAATCCATCAGTTAACTCATTCTGAGTTTATATGTGAAGGTAAACTGTTTAAAAGAATCTCTAGTGGGCTTAGGAGCAAGTGAGTGTTTTTCCAACATTCATCTAAGGAAAAGGCTCTACACTTTTTCACACTTAAGACAAATTTGCCCCTGAAAGCTAAACAGCCAAAAGTTTCCCTCTCCCTCTAACCTTAAGGATCATCTCTGCACGGGTCATGCCTTTCACCACTATCTTGGTGTAGCTGGCAGGTGCCTTGCGGAGCACTTGGGAGCCTATGGAGGGCAGATCCAGCAAGACCGTCTTCAGAGAGTGAGTGTCAAGGAGGAGCTGGTGGGGTAGGATACACATGACAGAAAGTCAGCCACATAGGAACAGTTATTCAAGGTTAAACGTGTATACCAGTCCATATAGTGAATGTACAGCATTCATTTCCTGATGTAAAAATGATGCAACAGTGCACATACATGTACGGCTTAAAATGAGCTTAAGATGATGACTCACAGTGCTGCTCAAATTAAGCTTTAGGACAGATGAGCATAAATTAGACTTACTTGTTCAGCTCCCACCATGCTGATAGGCTTACATCTGAACAGGTGGTTAATAAATTTGGGAATGAAAGAACTATGGAAAGAAAGAAAATATATCAACTTTAGGAACCTTTAATCATTGCTTATGGATAGAGCAATTATGTGGGTATGACTGTATGTGTGTATGTATTATACTTTGTGAACTTGATGCAGAATTGTGTGAAGTATTTGCGTGTAGAGGCCAAATTGTCTCTGATGATAGGCACGTTTTGCTTAATGTGCATGATGATTGACGTCACATAAGGACTCTGGTCACCCACATGCTCCACACTCTGCCACGGCATCTGAGAGAGAGGGAGAGACACAGGGGAGGAGGAAAGCTTTAACATCTGAGCCAACATACAAGTAGTGTTAGAATATTATATTATATCATCAGGATTATGTGGAAATGTTCAAGTTTCCAAACGATGACAGTTGGCAAAGAGACATTCTGAAAACCACCAGAAACCAGTGTTACGGCATCTTACAGAATCTTTTAAAGGCAAAAATATGATAATGTTTTCCATGTTCTTTTAACTTTTTTAATGAAGGGAAAAGGTATTGGATTTGAATATCTTATATACTATATGAGCTGATGCGTGATTGTGTGTGTGTGTGTCTAACCTTGCTCATAGCAGTGAGAGCAGGGTCACAGGCAGCATCTAGATCTTGAACAAGCAGCTGGATACTGTTTGAGATCACACTGAGAAAACATGAAAGTAAATAATTGCCATAATTCTTTACACAAAAGAAGAAAGGCTCTTTTTTTTTATAAAGAACAAGAGCTGCCCACTTACGTGCTGAATGTATCCATCTCCCCAGTCAAATTAATTCTCTCCACCAGGACTTTATCTACTTTCTCCTTTAGTTTCTCCTCCAACTGGAACACAGACAAACAAAAGAAAACACATACAAAGCATTACTTCTGCATCCTTTTTAAATATAAAAAAAAGGAAGAAAGAAAAACAAACAGCTTGGATAAAAACGTTCAGGTTGTGTTGTAATCATAACTGTCACAGTGATTTCCTTAAAACACTGATGAAACACAGGTCAAACATCCTGTAACTGCTACATGATAAGCATCTCTTATGTACGCTATCATATCCTGTCACTGCAGATAACACTCTAGTTCAATTTAATAGATTCCTAGACAGTTCAGGTCTGTGCATCTGCAAGATTGTGTGCTTATTTGTGTGCGCATGCCTGTTGTGTGGTAGCCAAACAGTACTCTGCAGTACTGAGGATGCTACAGATCAGGCAGAGCTCATCCACGGTGAACTTAGCAGCTTCTGAGCCTTCTTTCTCCTTCAGCAGACTGCTGATGGTAAGACCTCCACTGTTGCTGCTGGATCTGGATGGCAAGATAGACGTAAGAGGAGAGAGAAAAAAACAGCAGTAAAAGAGAAAGAAATAGCGACAGAGAGAGAAAGAGGGATTATCATAAAGAGGGGAAAAATGCTGACGTTTAAGGTCTACTAATAAGATTAACCGTTTTATAGTGTTAACACTTTCAATCTATCAAGTTGTGAGCGATAGCTTGTTTCAGTCTTGTGAATTTTAAATGTATTTATTTAGACTTAGATCAGAGATTACTGTTATAGTTATAAGTTATACGGTGAATTAAAGTTGAGATGAACCCCAAAATGCTATGTACTGTCTTTCCTAAGACTGGCTAATGTGGATCCCCTTTGCTTCTGAGCTCTCTTTGTTGAACCCATCTTTTTAAACCACAGGTAAAGAAGATCATTTTTAGTAACTGAGACACAACAGGCATAACTACAAGCAGACACAAGTGTCGGGATGCTGCGCCAATGAGGCTTCAACGACGACCCAGTCATTAATAAACGTCATAACAGAGACATGTGGGTAAAACCACAACATAGTTCAAGCTCCTTTCGAGGGCCCCTTTCAAAACCTCGCAAAACCAATTCACAGCACACCACATTGGACGGCCGTGTCTGCGTGTGTCTGTAAGTGTATGCACTTGCAAAGCGTCTGAGTGCATCTTTGAACAGTGTTTGTACACGACTCAGAATATGGTATACATTAGTCAGCGGGCACAAGTGTGTAATTAGCATGCATGCATATCTGAGACAGAAACAGAGCACGTCTCTGTGTATCTGTCTGTGTGTGTGTATACGCACCACAGCCCAGTGATGAGTTCTAATGTGGCCAATGAGCCAGAGATGTTTTTGGTGGTAGCATATTAGGCTTTGCCACAACATAACCAACTCCAGATCCCTCATAGCATGCCATCCCAATCCATCAAACACAGCGAGGACTGAAGACATTAAGTTTCAAACCAGAGCTCCTAAACAGCCCCATCGCCATACCAAAAGAATGAACAAATATGGGTGTGACATGATAGTTTATGAAAAGTTAATCCCAAATAAATCTGCATTTGTGGTAATGCCCAGAAAACTTTGTTATTCTTGTGGATGGAAATTGTTGAAATACTAGAAATACTAGAAATACTAGTGAGTGAATGCTAGCGAGCTAGTGGGTATTCTTGTCAGCTGGATGAATGAATAATGTGTTTCCAGTAGTTTTTGGAGGTCTATGGCACACAGACATACATAGACACTACTTGTTAGTAATATCAAGTCATTATTAGCTTTGGCCTTTTCATGGATCACAGAGGGTGGCGTATGCCGTACAGATTATAAAGCCCCTTAGGAAAATTATTAAATTTATAATTTTGGGGTATATAAACAGAATTGACTTGAAAAGCCACCAGGTCACAGATTAGAGGGGGTCAAATGTTCTACTGAGACTATAACTTTGGGACTAAGAATGTATTGACTTTGTATTTCAAGAGAGAAGCTGAGGGTTTTCCCTGTCACTTCAAATCAGTCAGGCTGTCCTACAGCCAGCCTCTACAGGCTGTTACAGGATGTATTAAGCCACTTCCATATTGGCTTCAGCAACTGCCATAGTGTAGCCAGTTTAAGGAAATATGGAAGCGGCTTAATATTGAGGCTATTTGACTGCCTTTTGTCAGCAAAAAAGTAGTTACTGTAGATTTAACACCCTGTAACAATTTCATGGTAGTGTTTATGTTTTATTTCTACACTGAATCTCTGTTTTAATTCTACTAGGGGACAAGTTTACTTCCTGCAAAAAACAATGAGAACACTAGCTCTATGTTAAGAGTATAACCTGAGCCAGTCTTACTTAGGCAGGTTGCCAGAGAGGATCTTCCAGGCGTACTCTCTCAGGAATTTCTGGAAGATGGTCGAGAGGGCGATCATTGGTTCTCCAGTGCTCAGTTGGGAGCACTGCACCATGCACTTCTTGTAATAGACAAAGAGGTCAGCACAGCTGGGCAGCACTGCTCCGCCCTCCTCCGTGCCTGCCTTGGGTGGGCCTTGTGCTCGGAAGTCAGCCACAAAACGGTCAATCAGTTCTCCCAGGTTCCTGCAGATGCCGAAAATGTACAGCCAAACCCACACAGGTTCACACAGACACGCACACACATATGCACACACAGCGTGGTTGGATTAGGCGCATATGCACGAAATTAAATGAATCAAATAAAAACATATGATTGGTTCCTAACCCCAATAAGTAAATAAAAGGATAAAATAACAGGCACACAGACAGAGAGCCAGATGGATAAATAGGAGAAAATATTCCAAGCATATCAAAATCCTCAGTACAATAGTCAACAGGTCCACAGTCAGTCGGTGTGGCCCAATCCTACTGAATCTTGGAACTAAAGCCAAGGACAAAACAAGCAGGCCACTGTTCTCTCCTGCTATGTCCCACTGAGGACAAGCTGATCTGGCTGCTGCCTGCTTAAGGCCTTTGGACTGAACTGAAATGAGATTGTAGCTGTGGAATAGGTCAATCCTGTTCCCTTGAACAGACAAACGGCATTTAACGCTCTAGAGAGTCAAGAGCCAGGGGGTGCATGCAAGCAGCAGCAGTCCCAGGACTGTGTTCAGTTTTAGGAGCGATCACCATGACTGGGATAGGGGAGGGACGTGAAGGATGGTGGCACACAAAGAAGGAAGAGGAGTGTAAAAAATAAGGCAGGAAGAAAACAGAGAGACAAGAAAGAAAAGGGAAAGGAAAAAAAAACAGAATGAGAGATTGAGATGTGGAAAGAAGAAATCAAACAAACATTGCACAGAAAGAAAGAGACTGGAGAAGGGGTACCGAAAAGAAAAAAATAAAGGAGGTGGGAATGAAAATAGTCAGATCTGCTGTGGCAGCACTTATTCAACCTCCCTCTCTCTTTCTCTCAGCGTCTGTGGTCGTGCAGCTAATGGGAAACATTTCTGCCACAGTGGAGACAGAGGCATGTACAGGAACAAGAGATGGAAAGACAGAAGAGGCAATGCAGTAGAATGGGAGGTGGGGGATCTGATTGATGAGTGGGCAATGGAAAAAGGATGCATGTGCCAGCTTTACACACAACCTGCTCCTGATTCTGGGTCTGTGTACCATGACCAAGTTTGGCTTTGCCTGCTTGTATGTCTGTGTGTGTTGCTCACTTGTCTTGGGATTCTATGTAGACATATAGATGAGGTTCAAAGCACTTGGAGACAATGCCATGGAAAGGGTTGTCTGGAGCTTTCGGCTTCCTGGGCTAAAACAATGGAGAGAAAATGAGGAATTAGTGAAATAACAGGTTTTAGCTGTAGCCCCTTTGTGTACTAATTAGTGAAACAATTTCTAAAGATAAGGCGTGATCGGAGATTCTGTATTTGATACAGTGTTACGTGTAACATGTTAGAAACTGAAGCAATTGACATTCCATGCTTAAAATACACTCAGCTACCACTTTATTAGCTCCACCTAGCTATAACTGATACAACAGCCCTGCAATAAATCATTGGTACAAAAAGGTTATAATGTTCGGCTTTTGTCGATACTCTTTTAAAGAGCTGCAGATTCAACTTTATGGTCATTTTGGAAGCTGTAGTTTGTGATGCTGTTGAGCTTGTGTTATATTGAGAGGTTTTTCTAACTTCATTTCAGGGGTGTTATGTTAAGGCGGAGTACTTTTACCTAGGTGTATCTAATAAACTGCCAACAGAGCTATGTTTGATATCTAGTGAAGAAAATGGATTATATACAACTATGCAAGCATAGAAGATTATCTGTGTTCAAAATAATGCCACATGGTTCTAAGTTAAGGTTGTACATGGGAAAACATTTAAGTGCACTACTGTTCTTCATAAGCAAATGAGTATGAGTCATATATTCCCTTTGAGAGGAGCACTTTAAAAATAAAATAAAAATGAAATTAACATTATTTGGCCTAAAGAGCTCCTCAGTCATATTATGTTGCAGAACAGGTCAGACAGAGTCATTCCAGGGTCCACTCACCTTAGTCAGATCCTCGTCCTTCTCTGTGCCCACATCTTCACCTGGCTCATCCTCCAGGAAAGGGTTAGTGGGTTCCAGAGGACTCTCTGGCCTCTTCTGCTATAAAAACACAGATGAAACTTCAGTATTTTTTCTAATCTTTAATTATTAAAGCATCAAAAGGGGTTTGACTTCAACAAAGGCATCACATGCTAATAGTACATTTGCCTAACAGAACTCTTTCTGCAAATATCACAATCTCTTTAAAATAAAGTCCAGGTTTCATTACTTTCCATGGTTATGTAGACCATTTCACGAGAGGCTTTGATGAAACTGCATCTCCAATTATAAAATTCCACTCAACCAAATCCCTGATTGAATTACAGAACCCAACAGGCATTGGTGTAAACTAAACTAAAGACAAAAGGGCCTCTGTCTAACCTAAATATTATCAGTTCTGAACAAGCTTGGCCTAGTTGTGCTCCAACAAAATAATAATCATAATCTGTCCATTCTCTGTTTATGGCTTCAACCTCCACATGCCAACATGACCTGGATTAAAAGGTTTCCTCAGGCTGTGACACCAAGAGTACCTCTTTGTGTGTGTATAGGATACAACAAACTACAAATCTGTTTCATGTAAGTGTGACTATGGCACAAATGAAAGCAAGCAACATCAAAGAAATATTTCTGGGACATTTTCTGCTTGAAGAATTTGATGCGCCTGGAGACCAGCATGCATTGTGTGTCTGTGTGTGCTTTTCTCACTCCAGGTACGTCGGTCAAGGTGCATCCTGTGAAGCGTTTGGCCAGAAGACCCTCGAAGTTTGTGGTCCTCTGAATGGCAAACAAAAGCAGCTTCACCTCAATTTCCTTAGCCCGTGTTCGCATCACTTTGGCGAGTTCCACCCTGAAAGACACATGCAAAAAACCTTGAGTGTTACCTCTTATTTCTACACTTTAAATGACATCCCAAAATGTTTCCAATAATCCTTGTTAGTACATAATTGTAGTCTTACATCTGTCCTTTAAAAAAAACAAAACATGTCTTGTCAGGCTTTTTTCTAATGACACTACGGCAATTTTGGCCAGATGTGTTTTTATTGTCAGATGAGTAACACACAAATAGTGTGCCACTCTTTCTTTTCTCGTGTAGCAGAGGGGAAAAGACTGAGAATTGAGGCCTCTAGGTCACTGCTCATGTAGGCCACCTACGTCAACTGCACTGAAAGTATGCATCAAATCACAAACTCGAGCCAGGCGTGCCATGCCAGTGTGGTTTACTTCATGATGCAAAAATGTCCCACAACCACTTTCTCCATTTTTGCCTATTTAATTTAATTACATTTAACTTCTTTTTCTTTTATTCTTTTTTTCTCTTTTCTTGGGGACAGAGAAAGCATTAAATATCAAGAAAATAGGCTAAAGCCGCATTTGTGTGTCTGTGTGTGTTTACCTGGTGATGTGGCAGAACTCCACAGCAATACGCTCTGTCATGCACCACTCCTCAGGAAACATGCGTCCATACTTCTCCTCGTAGTCTACCAGCTGCCGTTTGATCCAGGCATAGCGGCGATCGATCTTGTCAAGCCATGCAACCTGAGAAACAGGGTAGAATACTTTTTCATCAACACTTAAATACCACCTTTTTCAATGAGGTAATAAGATATTTCCTGGAATTAGATACGGTCTTGTATTGAATTTAAATTCTAACTCACATCTTGGTTTTCCTGGAATAATACCAGGTACTCTGAGAGGTGCTGCCTAATAAACTTTTTGATGATCTCCTGTTTGATGCGTGGGTCCAGCACATTGGCCACCAGACAGGCATCTCTCAGAACATTGCTGGGGCCACCTGGTCTCTGGATGGATTGTGAAATAAAATATTGACATTCAGTTTTGTACAGGAGGAGAACAAGACAAGGATATTGGCTAAATAGGGATAAATTGAATAATATTTGTCCAGAAAACCCATAAATCTGTTACCTTGGAGCCTTGAGAGGGGAAGGCCTCTTCAAAATCTGCCAGGATCTGAGTCCCCAACTCACTCTGCGCTGCCTTTACTCTAGATAGGACAAAAAACAAATCACAATAAATGATTCATTATTTTCTTAATCAGACAAACCTCATGTTGAAATATTGGCAATATCCTGTGGAATCCTCCAATATACAACATACTTTTTATGTATAACAGCTAACAATTGAAAGATACCTAGTTTAATTATCATCCTGGAATTTCAGAATTGCAGAGAAATACTCTACAAGCATTTTAAAGCCATCAGCTTGCTGTTTACAAGTAACTTGAGGGCAAACCTCAAGGCCACAGCACACGCTATACAATCGCTAAAACCTGTCACAGCCAATTATTCTTCAATATTTTTCAGTCTCAATATCAGCACACGTGTTTGCAGGTGTCTTTATGTGCATGCTTTGCTATGAATGTGAGCACTCACGTCAGTAAAGCGAAAACAAATACTGAGCAAGACAATCTGAGTCTGTTGAGTCGCCAGCGTTCACCCAAAGGCATCCAGAGCGGATTAACACAGGACAGCACCCAAAGCCATGACAATGATCCAGAATAAACAGGAGAGGGTGGAGAGATAGTGTCACGGATGGATGCCAACTGAACTAGTAGAGTAAAACTCCACTATCTACCTCTCTCTGCTCAGCAACTCAGTATGAGTCTGGAGCAGTCAACAGTAACTTCTTTTATCTGACTGAGACCAAGCTGTCAGCAGCAGCAGGTCTGACTGTACTCAGTCTGTGGCTGCATTTTGTCCAATAAATCAAGTGGCACACACACACACACACACACACAACACACACACACACACACACAGTAGTAACATAGTGCAAAACAGCCAAACATTATGTCTAACTGTCTGTCAGCTCAACTGTGACAGTCGCAGTGCAGTTAAGACAGTGAGAAAAGCATTATAGTTGAGACCGTGGGAGAAGCATTAAGTGGCGACGAGGAAAAAAGGATTATTAAAAAAATAATCACAGTAGATCCTGTTCAAAGGTGAAAGCTGCACTGACTGAATTTAGTCACACTTCAAAGGACTGTCAGGACAAAAGGCTAATTTCTCTATTTGAATAAAATAAGTAAAGGAAGGAATGGGGAAATGTCAGATGGAGGCTCTAATATGCATTTAGCCTGTAACCCTGTTGAATTATAAAAATGGTTTAAAACTGAACTATGCTTTTTTTTAAATGTCGAAATATCCTATGTAGTCTTTACTACTTAAATGTGCTATATATATATATATGTAGATATTGATACTCTATTAACCATTTATGTCCAGCTGCCTCCATATCTTCCCCTTCCCTGTGTCTCTCCTATCATCTGTTCCTCTCGCAGAGTCACTTCTTCCACACAGCTGTTATTTGGTATGAACACTGTCTGCCACACCTCAGCCAAAAGAGAACAGAAGGTCATGCTTTTTTTGTTTTTGTTTTTGGGGATCAGCACTACTTTGAATCTGAACATCAACTTGGCCAGCGCGTCCAAAATCTATTTTTGTGTTCTTGGAAAATAATAGCAAAAATGGAAATGGAAAACAGCAGCATACCAATGCACTTTCTGTGTGTGTGTGTGTGTGTGTGTGTGTGTGTGTGTGTTTGTGTGTAAATCTCTGCACGTTTATATGTTTAAACTGTATAACCATATTTTATATACGTGTTGAAAGAAAGAACAACAATCTGTGTAAAAAAGTGTGTAATGTAAAAATTGCATCTCCCACACACAAAAGTGGAAGCATATACATGGAGATATAAACACAGTCCCAAAAGCACGCCTCTAATCTCTCACAAAGGAAGAAATGCTGGCATTGTACAAAACTATTCACTGGATTTCCTTCCTGTGTGTTCTTGTATGTGTGACATTGTGCGTGTATGTGTGTGAATTTCTGCATAAACAGGATGCAGAACGCAAAACACCTCCAGCCAAATACTGTAACCACTTTTCAACAGTTCAGCTGACAAGCTATGGAACATTTTAGCTGTAAGCAGAGATCAAGCTCAGAACTGGCTACTGGAAATGAGCTGTTCTTACAGCCATTCTGCTCCCCAAACAGCCCAATTGAGCTCGAGCAAGACACTAAACCCCTACACATAGATACATTCACTCAAAGAAGGTGTACTTGAGGAAAAATATGTCAAGGAATACCCTCACATATCGCTGGTGAGTGAATATGTGTGTGCGTGTGTGCATATTAGTTACCTCTCAGAAAGCTGTCTGATCTGGGGTATGCCCATGTACTTGTGGAAATGTTCAAGCACATTGACCACTCCCTGCAGCAGGTTGGCCACCTCACCATACTGCCTCTTTCTGGTCATGGCTCTGGAACACAACAACCATGTGAATTATTTATATTATTATATAAAAA